GGCCTCCGACCACTGCGCCACTCGCGCCATTTTTCCTTAAATAAATCAATGTAATTTCAATGAATTGGAAAAGTTTTGCTGTTTGTGACAAGAAGGAAGTAAAATATCAGGATACAACATTGTTCTAGTTTTAAACCTTTCATGAATGAAAGATAAATGGCATATACAAATTATGCAATTGATAATTTGACTTGGACTGTTTCGGCGGCTCTGAAAAGAGGTGGGTTTCAGAAACTTGAATTAGTTGTGGTTGTAAGTTCTCTTATGCTTAAAATATGCGCTGTAAAAACATTGGAAGCGATGTGTTATAAAGGCAGCGGTTGTAGATTCTGCAATATCGCACAAAAGTCAGTAAAGTGAAAGGTTACTAGAATAAGACCTGAGAATATGGAGTGTTTCCAGAGATACATTTATATGGAAGCTGGTGGAATGTATGGAATGAATGTGCACTTTGTGAACGCCTACCACTTTTAAAATCAATAGTTCTCGTGGCGGAGGTTTACATCTACAGCCAGTACGATAAAATCTGTACAAGTTTGCTCAACGGTTTGGAAAACTCGTCGGGCTGAGGAGGTTTTCCGAAGGGTCGAAGTTCACTCCACAACTACAGCAGACATATGGCTCCACTCGCTTTGCCGCCGACAGTCGCTGTGAGGGATTTCAATTCAATTCAAGATTATGAGAACATGACGATTCATCATTTTATCACAACTCATACATGCTTACTTACTTGGATGGTACGTCTTCACTGATTCCGGCTCCAACATAATTCTTATTCGTTTCTCTCGCGCAATCGTTATCCATGTTGATGGTTTCCTTCGAACATGGTGCCATCCTTGACGTTGATTGCGAACTCCTAAAATCGTTTCCATGTGGGAATGCAGAAGGTTGACGTTAGCCGCGAATACGTCCGCCCATTGTTTGGGTGATCCTCCAAGAGGACGCTTGCATTCAGGCGTCATAATACTCAGCAACATAAAACTTTTTTCGTTAAATATAGAGAATGACTTTTCTAGAACGTCGGATATGTTTTCGGTTGCAGCTGATCGTCGCTTACGATGTGCATGTGGGATACCGTGATAGGAAAAAAGAACCATAAACAGTGCAAGTCTTCTAGAAAAGTGAAGAATGAAAGGCTATCTGGTCCTTCGTCCTCTAGCAGGCAAACAGTTTTGTTTCGCTCTGTTTAAACGCTTTCTAGTCGATTGCAGCTTTGAATCTGCAAATCTTTCAGGAGACGTGTTCTGAACAACGTAGTGAATACACTTTTGCTTCTTTACTTCGACGCCACTTAAAAAGTTTTCAATCCTAAGTCTCATCGACCTTCTTCTCTTCTGGTTCTGTAGGAAGACAGCATTTCCCAGTTACTGCGGAAAATGTCAAATGTTTCACGGTGCAAAAGTAGCAGCTTCGATCCAAGATTTAATACTGTTCATCAACCTTGTGGAAGTTTATCAATTAAAGAGTACGCGTCGATTACTCACACCGAGGTTAAAGGAAAGTTAGTTTTGAAATATCTTATCAATGTTTCAGCACGGCTGATGAACTACAATGTACAGCGGAGTCTCTTAAGCGCAGAAAGAGTTCGAGCAAAAGTCAATGATCAATGCCATCCTGGCAGAGACCTACAGCCAAAGAGATAAATCGTCATTCGATTCATACAACAGGAGTCTATAGTTGCAGCCATCATCTGTGAACAGTTTGAATATCTGGAGACCGTACTTGTCTCTTGTGCATGCCAGCGAGAGACGGCTCTACCTCTGAACGACGCGATCGATTCGTCAATACATGCCTATTTTCCAGGCCTGCATATTGTGATGCAGTCCGTGTTGATAAGATCGATTAGCGGAGTAATCTTATACAGCCTTTCTCGTCAGTCGCACCTTGCGTTGTGGGCAAAGTAAGGGTTTGCCAATAGACCTAAAATTCTCCTCTTCATAACAAGGGCTGCAATAGGAGGACAGCATGCAAAAGAAGACTGAAAACTCCGATAATCTCCCCGCCATGGCAGCCTAAGGACGCCCACTGTTCATATCGTTCACGTCCATTTTCTAAACGGAAACTTAGTAAGAAATAAAAAACTCTTAATTCTGTGAACCGATCTACTGATCATTTATGCGTCTTATTTCACCAAATAGAAAGAGGTTGTGTGGCAATACATCATCCCAACCGCTATCGTCAACAACGGGTTCATTTTATCCCCCGGTTCGCTTCCACCACTTTTTCGGACTGAAAACACATGAAGCTAGACGAAATCTTCCTAATCACGAGGTTCTTCATTATCACTCTCAATGAAGAGTCGACTAAGAAAGAGCACGAGCAACCGGAGGAAGAGATTAATGAGGGAGGTGTAGAATAACAGTAACCTTGTAAATAAGTGGCGCCTTACATAAATCGACTTCCCAGAATGTTCTTCAAGACCTAGAAAACATTGCCTATAACAGGGACCAAGGCAAGACCGACTTCATTTTTGAACGTCCAAACAAGCTTGTCCAAAAGTGGCTGCATCACGAAATGGTGCCAAAATGCAACTAACAGAAGCATAGTCGTTCATTACTTCTTTTGGCACCCTTCACATACAAAAACGGCGCTTGTAAGAAAAATGTTTCAAATGACCACAACTGTATGCACAAGAAGAATTCAGAACGAAGAATCTCCGAATTCCGAAGAATTTACGCTGAAAGTAGCCATTTCCATTGGCTTCGAAACGGTAGCTACTCGGGAGAGGTTTAGAAGAATAACCACGCCTCAAAAAGATAAGTTTAGTAAAAATAGGGTCTTGCTTGGCTTCGAGTTATTTCCAACGGAGTTAGCGTAATTATAAAACATTGCCTTAAAAGGGCTGGTTTAGAGAAATCGCTAACAGTGATTGGAATGCCACCGAGCACTCTAAGATGCCAGCGAGTTCGTAATCGTGCGTGTGATCGTCCATGTGAAGCGCTGTGAGAAGATTCTAACAGTGGAGTGCCAGAACATGCCACGACGAGCACTAGCAATTTATCACGAGCTGCGAAAAAAAACTTTGACGGACACTTACGGACTTTGATTTTTGATCGTTGACACAGATTGGATCTTCGGATCCCTTCCCTTACTTATGTGGAACGGGGTACTACTAGCATCGTCCTTTCGACTGCGCGTTCGACAACGCTGAGTGATCTTTCATCCTGCCTACGCAGCGACCAAATTTCTGACGCATACGTTAGGGCAGGAAGTACGGTTGAGTCGAAAAGGTGGGCAGAGAGTCGGGTGTTCTTTGTTTTCTTCAGTACATCCTCGATGCTCTTGAAAGCTCCCTGAGCCGCTCGTTTTCTTCTGATCAGCGTTGGAGCTAAGTCGTTCATCATATTGATTTCCAGACCTAGATAGACATAACTGGAACATTCGGAGATATTCGCTCCGTTGAGCGTGAATAGGGCATGTGGAACCAATCCGTTCTTCATGAACATCGTTTTCGTGAGATTTAGTCGAGACCAATCCACAGGCTTTATCAAAGTCGTCAAGCATAAGTTCCGTTTGGCTAATTTTTGGTGTTATAAGGACGATGGAGTAAAGCGAAGATGGTGTAACTGCCGGCCATTCACTCCTATGTTATCCTATTTCAATGTTCGCATGACGTTCTGGAAGGTGGCGGCAAATAATTAGATGGTATCGCCTTGCCTAACTCCTCTTTTGACGTCAATATTAATATCGTTGTAGAATGATGACACCTTGGTTGTAAAATTTTTGTACAGATCACGAAGAATCTTTGTGTACTGAGAAGGGACTCCTTAACTACCAAGGGCTTCCAAAACTGTTTCTATTTCAGTTGAACCAAAGGCCTTCTGTAAATCGATGAAAGTGAGACAGAGCGGTCTCTTGTACACTCGCGATACTTCAGTGAGCCTTGTTACCATGTGGATGTGGCCCATCGTAGTAAATCCCCTTCGAAACCCTGCTTGCTTACATGGCTGTCGTTCGTCTAGTGTTCTGTCAATTCTGTTTAGGATGATTCGAGTGAAAAGTTTGTAGACGGTAGACAGTAAGCAGATTGGACGATAGTTGCCGATAACGTACAGATCACCCTTCTTGAACAGTGACACAGTCCTGCTGGTCTTCCACTGAGTAGAGACCTTACATTCAGACAGGTAACGTGTGAAGAGCCTAGCCAGTGTGTTTCCGAGGACTGGCGGAAGGTTCTTTAGGTGTTCTGGTCTCATCCTGTCCAGACCTGGTGCTGTTCGATTTTCCACCGACGAAATGGCATGTTGGATTTCGGAAGGGAGAACTGGTAGTAGAACATATCCATTCTCCTTTATTTCATATTACGGAAGGTGGACGTGGCTATCGAAGAGATCCGAGTAGTATTCGTGAACGATTTTCTCAATTGCCTATCTGGACGCTGTAACTATTCTGTCTGGCCGTCGGAGTGCATTCATCTTGGTCTTATAAGTGGCGAAGCTTCGGTGGGCTTCGCGAATGCTTTTCCTAGCCTCTGCAAGTTCGGCCATTACTGCTGCTCTTCTCTCTTTAAGATTTTCTTTTATCGCCTGTCTGCATTGTTTTGCAAGCTCGGACATCAGTTCGCGGTTGCCTTCAGCTCGTGCGATTCCACGCTGGGGTATCAGTTCAAGGGTTTCTGGGGACAAACGTCTCTTGGTGACTTTCGAACTCTCAGCTTTCATAGCGATAGCGTGAAGATGTTGAATGAGCTGATCGTACTCTCCATCAATGTTATCGACAACGGCGTTTTCCCAACAGCCGATTAATGAATTGAATAAGTCCCAATTTATGGTGGCCCTGAAACTTCGGTTTTTGAATTTAGCGGCTTTTTCTCCTTTCCACGAAAAACAGAATCCTGCACGAAAGAGACGGTGGTCTGATCCCATGTTCATTTCGTTATGGTACTCTCCATTGGGAGACTCCCACGTGCAGCGCTGAGGGTGGGGCTTCTGGAATTGCGAGTTACCATGGATGGTCTTGGTAGTCATGATAAACTCAGAAAGCCGCTCACGCTGTTCCTTTCACTCCAATCCGTGGGTTCCAATGCGACGTTCTTCAAATGTCCCTTTTGGTCCAACCTTGGCGTTGAAATCTCCAATGATGATCTTGAAGATTGTGTGGTCTTCTCTGCGGAACTTCTCCAAGTCCGTATAGAACGCTTCGACTTCTTTTTTGTCATAGTTTAATGTCGGCTCGTAAACGACGAAGATTGTCAAAGCCGGAATTGATCCACATCTTATTAATCTTAAACGTCTGATTCGGGTTGCAAGTTGTTCGAATGAATCGATGTTCATGGACAAACTCGTGTTGACGAAAACGCCGACGCCGCCGGCGCCTCTACTGTTGAATGTTCTGAAGAACAGTTCTTCTCCAGTGTCATAGACGGCGTTGAAAGGCTGGCATCTTCTCGTCTCGGCCAAGCCGATGACGTCGTGCTTCTTGCTTGCATGAGCAAGTTTTCTATCGAGGACTCGGATGCAAGTGTACGTGCATTGTAGGTACAGATCGTCATCATAGTTCTTTGAAATCCAGGTAGTCTCCATTGGCCCTGAGATTTTAGCAGCCTCTTCGTACTCGTCTTACAACGCTGCTTAATTGGAGGCTCTTTCGGGGTGAGGCGCATGAGGCCCGTTTTTTTAACTGTGCTTAGCATTTTTGATACCCACGTATAGCTTGCTGGGCTCTGAACGTGGGAGCTGGGTATACTCACGGGTAACTTGCCAGGCTCACCCAGAGTGGACATGAAGCTTATTTCTTGGAGGCGACTCCTAACCACGTCCCATATACTTTCCAGTTACTTGATTGCAGACTTTTGGGCGACTTAACTCGTAGGATATAACCTGCATAAGCAAGAACGCACCCACACATGCATGCATGAATACGCCTAGCAAACACAGAAAGTATGCGCCAAATCAGCGCAGCAGAAACAGTTAGTCCATACCCTCGATCCACCTGCGTCTCAAGGAAGCAAAGGTCGCCTTTGGTCCGCGATTAACCCCTATTCGTCACCTGGAAACGCGCCACGTAGCCTCGCAACTAATCGGCTCATGATCCCTCATATGAGGGAGATCCGTGGTAATAGAGCTATGTAATAGATAAAAAAGGAAAAAGAAGCTGTCTCGTTCCTTGTGCTAATCTTGTGGATAGCCTTCGCTGAGAAAGTACAGATTTTGTATGAACAATATGACGTATACAACAATGGATACGACGGTGTCTGTCGTCGCTGCTTTATGCGCTTCATCAAATAGAAATTATTTTTTGTCCAATAATGTTGCAAATATTTCACAGAAGTGCAGGTAGAAATACGATTACAAAAATGGATGAAATTTAGAGAAAGCAATAGAAGTCCGATCAGACCAGTAACTTTTGATGAGCAGAAACGATGCAAGTGTTAAGACTGGACTTTCAATAAGCCTGCGTAGCAGCAATCTACAATTTTCTATATTATTCAGCTAACGCAAAGCTGTTAACAAACATCTTTTTGACTGAAGTATCCACGCCTTCGTCCTGCTCAGAACCGTCTTGATCCAAGTCGATGGTCCACTCTGTTCTTAGTGACGATGTGGGTGCTCGAGTTCGCATTGTGCGAAACTAGTGGAGGGATCACTGCTCGAGCGGTTAACTTTGCTTTTATACAAGACGGATAATGTTCGATTCTCGCCATTCAATACAATTTGCGATTTGGCGGGAAATGCGTCCTGTAGCGGTCTGTACATTAGCCGAATAAAAGCTTTTCTACCAACCTCTTGTTTGCTCAATCATATATACAATTTCTGATGCAAATGTTAGCATGTCGGACTACTGAAGGTATTATAAGGTGGTGTATTTCCTCGAAAGTAACCAATGTCCATGGAATGACACGCCCTCCCTCTCAATTCTTTACCTCATACCTTTTGCATGCTTCACCGTCAGTGTCACTCTATTTTTCTCGTATTCGTTTCTCTCGTCCCTCTCCGTGCTCCAATCTCTCGTCGTCCACTCACGTGTTAACGAAGTGGTTGTCCCTGTGCCCGTTGGATTGCACAGTGCCACGGTGGAGATTAATAGTGCGACGTGTCTTTAGTGCCTCTCGAGCTCCACTCAAATCTTCCTTCCCGGCACTGAAGTTTACACATCTTTGTGTTCTTCATAGATATAGGATTTAGAAATGCAGCAGGGCTTACCCATTCAAGAATAGTATACAATGAATGCTAATCAGGCCATTTTTGGTTTTACGTTATCCTCTGCTCTTCATAGTTAAACCCCATCTGTAAGCATTATTTTTCCCCATTCTGCCTAGTCAGTCCATTACAGAAGGTATGCTGTCTTCATGTTAATGTCAAGTTTGAGATCTTGCATGGATTCTATACACCTAAACGGCGTGTTGTCATATTACCTTACTTTTCGCCTCTATCTTGACTAAATTTATCCAGCCTTGCTTTATAATTTTACGAGATTAAACTTCTACTTAAGTCGAAGTATTAACGTAGTGGTATTTCTTTGTACTAGCTTTATTGCACTCCCAACGGTTTACCGCCTCATCGTGGCTGGTAGATGGTCCTGGGTGTCAGGCTGCGATGTACAGTGGGGGGACCCGGCAGGATCTCCGAAGCTGAGAAGGAGTCGAGTCCAACGTTTCTATCAAGAAACTTAGCTAAGAGTAAACCAATACCAGATCCACCACCGCCATGGTATCAAACTAGTCGCATAGTGGCAAATTTCTCTCTTCCACAAGTGCGGAGACTGCCTGTGATGGTGAAGACCTGGGGCAGACTTTAGCCAGGATGGCATCAAGACTCCAAGGAATCACAGTGGCTAGACCAATCAAACTCCGAAAAAACGGAAACTTCGCTGGGGCCCTCACAATTAGCGAAGACGGGCCGCCCAAGTACACAAGCTTAATTGCACCTTGTAGCGTGAATAGGTTGTTGTCTTGAACATGAAAATGTTAAGCTTTTTATTGCTTATATTAAACATATTCTTGCATCTACACACCTATTGCCTTTTTTCAAACCTATTGAATCTGCTATATTTCTCAAAACCTCTCCTATGTTCAAAGGCGTTTGGTTCGGTCGAAACGTCACGGAGTGCAACAACACTTCTGTCGGTGTTTTTATTTTTCCAAAACACTGTTTCCATGGTTTTGAATGCAGGAGATACCGGTAAGTTTGAAGCGAAGATTCTTGATGGCAAACTTTCCCATAGCATCGTCCGTTATTCATTAGTAGTACTTCGTACGAACAATGCCGCTTTAGCGACACCGTACTTCTCAAATCCTGTGAAAATACCTTCACATTAAATTATTCTATGTTTATTATTGAATATGGTATTGGTTTCTTTTTGCTATACCCTCGGTCCCCAATGATACGGAATCCAGAAAGTATCAGGCAGGATGCTTCGTGAAGTGTAATTTGGAAACGTGCCTGGACTGTCAGTCTGGGTATAAAAAGTGATAAAAAGCAAAAGTCCTGTCTTTTGCTAGATTTTTTATAGATGAGGTTATTTGCGAAGCCTGCAAATGATAAAAAGCAACTAATGTTTTTTAAAACATTAGTCGTTTCTTCATCACGAAGATCACTCACTCTCAGTGACTGGTAAAAGAAAACTGGTGAATTTCCGTTAGTTCCTCGATTTCTTACTTCACATTCGGCAATTTCTATCGTGAAGCGGTACCGAATGTCGTTCACATTGGTCATTTTCGGACCAAGTAGTCGCTACTACCAAGGTCGGCCTAAGTCATTGGAATGTTTAAGAAAGTAATTTCTTGCTTTTCTTTACTAACTTTGACGTCTTCACAGTTTTAGGCCTTACACTCATTTTATCCTTATCCCAGTTGAAAGCCTACGTTTCGTCTTATCCGCTCTTCTGTTATTGTTTCTACCTTTGTAATAATCGATCTAGACCATGGGAAGAAAAACTGAGAGCACACCTGAAAAACTGCCTAGATATAATGCTGTGGGAAAAACTTATGCTATCAAAGTTTTATTTGGCCAGAGAACCGCTAACAGGTGTGCAGATCAACAGTGATCTGTAATCAGTATATTTTCTCAGATTGTTTAGCTTACACGAGGTTGTTATGTAACCCTTATTTAGCTAACGTTTCGACGGCTTTGGGGTCTATGATCCGGGCCGATGGCCCAGTTTCGCTCGTCCTCGCTGCCTGTACGTTCGTAGCCGTATCCAATCGAATTTTCTTGAGTGAAACACAGGTCGAGTAAACTAACGCGGACCATCGGCTCTAATGAAGACGAAGACGCCGAAACGCTATCCGAATAGAAGTTTTAAACAGCCTCGTGAAAGATCAACAATTTGAACGCATATTGATTAGTCATACCGCGGTCAAAGGAAGATCGCTTTTGAAGTAACTCGGTAGTGCTCTTTTATACAGTAAAGTTGTTCATTAATATTAAATGTCGACTGGTAGCGAAGCTATTTTAAACCAATTTCTCTATGTTCTTTCCCCAGAAAATCTTAGTTGCCATAGGGCCATTATTGAGGTCCTGTGTCGATGTTTCCTTTCCATAGTCAAATTTTCATACTGTCATCGTTGGTTTCTGTTCTCTACATTGTCCAAGATGTGAAATTGACACATGAGAGCTTTCTGTGTTCTGCATAATCCCACGGTGAATTTTGGGGAGATTTGGTTTTGCACTTCAACTTCAATTTCTAGTTTTTCTTGCTTGCTGCTTTTACACTTTCATGAAAAACTCTTTTCCAATGAAGGAAGGAGGAGCCGCATTTGGGCTTTTCAAAGAAGCTAATGCAGTTGCTAATCGAAAATAGGCCTTCGAGTCAGTTCTCGGCAACGAATAGGCACTAGCTTTTAGCAGATTGCTCGACTTCGTCGGAAGACGCCACGCGGGATTTTTCGTAGTTCTCACAGAGCAATGCCCTAAACTTGAGTAATTAAACCGTCCGTATACATAAATGCAACATCAATGCAACATACAGCACTAATATCGACAGAGAACTACTGGCACACAAATAAGGTAAGTTCAAGGGTCGGTGTATTATCAGCTAGCACAAAGCGTAGTGTATTATCAGCTAGCACAAAGCACAAAGCTTGATGTATGTCCGGAAGAAATACAAGTTGTTACCACCGGACATTGTCATTATATATCCACCATCAGCATCGTGTATAAAAGGGCATCACTGAGTGAGGATGCCTCATTCGAGAAGATGGCTCACTGAGGAAGATCTGGCTCGACACGAAGGCGAAGACGCAACGTCGAGGCGAACAACAAGCATGGACCATCGACTCGGATCACCGGCTCTGAGGAAGACGAAGACGTCGAAACGTTAGCCGAAAATAAATATATTTATCAACCTCGTGCAAGCTTATCAAGAAAGAATACGTAAATAATTACAATATTAGTACTATGGTAACAGCAACTTGATAACAATGACGAGTAAAGGGATACGGATGATGACGCCCTCACTGCCGTGTACAGTGGCCCAAATACAGACGAGCCGTGCATTAGGCCGTGCTTGGGATCATATCTACAGCGGTTGGGTGCACTTCCACATTAAACGATGACGATAGCAAGTTACCTTAGCATTGATG